GCGGCAAGCGAGCGGCCCTGAAGGCAGGCGCTGAGGTGACAGCGGGGGCCTGGGTGGCTGGGGCCCCGCGGTGGGCCTCGGTGTGTGGCAGGACCCTCCCGGTGCTGGTTGCTCGTCGGGGGAGTCGTCTCTCCCGTGCCTACTGGGGTGGGGGGGGAGAAGGAACCGCTGCTGGGGTCGCAGCACTAGGCTACGTGTTCTCTCTGGCAGCTGTCGAGCCAGTCGTATGGTGCTGCTGCTGCCTTTGGCGCAAGAGCACAGATCATCTCTTTAGGCAGTTCGGCATCTTTTCTTATTTTTGAAGGCTGGTGATTTTCTTGCCGGCTGTGTTCTGCACTTTCACCAGAGAATAGTAAATGCAGAAGCTTTCAAGAGGGAACATACTTTGTTCCACCAACTAATCTGACAATGGCAAAACCTTAAAGATTCAAAATTAGCTGTGATTGAATATGATTATTCTATTTGTCGATGGCTGTAAGGCCTGTCTTATTTTCCCTCTGAGACTTGTCACGTTTATTGCTGAGCAGGTTGCTACTTTTTGAACGCGATGAGAAAAGCAGCAGTTGTTCTACTGAACGTATATCTTGAACAAACACTATGCCCTAGCCTTGCAGATGGTAATTAGTTTGAATCTCAGAAATGTTTCATTCAACATCAAGTCAGTTAGGGAACTGAAATTCTCATCAGGACAAGCAGCTCATACTGCCCCTGCTCTGATGTGTCAGTCAAAACGTAGGACTGGTACTCAATCCTGGTACATATGACTGTCTTTCTGAAGAAAAAAATGAATTCTCCTGGGAACGGGCACCATGTACGCTTGTTCAGCTGGATGCCTCAACTTGCCTCTTTTGTGCTGAGTGCAGATAAACTGACAGTGGTGCCACTAACAGCCAGTGTCATCTGTTGACGTTGATGGAGCAGATGCTCGTGCTCCTTGTAGAAATACTTACGCTACAGCTGTTCTAGCACTACCTGGGGCCCTTCAGTGGGCTGCAGTGGAAGAACAGGGCAGCTGCCCTCCTGCCTTACGCCAGAGTGATTCTCTGCTTTGTCTAGCCAGAACATTAGGATTTAGGGGAGCTTTAATGTCAAAGTCCAATATCTGCTGAATTAGTACTTCTGTATCTGTGTGGAGGGTTCTTATCTGTGGTACAGAATTCCACTGTGTAGATTTTCATGGCTTTTACACATGGTGTACTTTATATAAACAAGGATGTGTGCCACAGTGCAGTTAGGCAATGGACATAGTGTTAACAGCACGGAGAAGTGCTGAGATGATACAGGAGGCTTCGTAAGCAGGCAGTCCACTGGCTGTTAGAAAGCCTTTCCTAAAGGTTCTGTCGCTCTGTCTGTCTTTACTGAGAAAAACATTATTATGCAGTGCTTTGCCAGCAAAGAAAATAAGTACAAATCTTTTGCCCAGATGAAGCGAAACTTGAGATTTATAGTATTGTTTTCTTAATTCACGGCACTGAGGCAAACTGTGTTTATACAAATATTAAGAGTAATATGGAATACAGCTATGATGACCCATGTTACCTGTAAGTTGAGTGAATCTGTTTTGGTAATCAGCTAATCAATATATCTTTTCATCTTCTCATTGCAGTTGCAGATGTGATAGCAAAAACCTTATTTCATCCAGCCCTGAAGTCAGTGCATATGACAGACCCTGATTTTTTTGTTGCACATCAGAAGGGCTTTTCAGGTGGAAAGCTCATTTCTTAATTTTTAGGGAAGGATAGAGGACAACCAACCAGCAATTTAGGCGCTCTAGGGAATGGGAGCAAGCGGTAGGGTTCATTAGTTTTTCTGGTAGTCTGCTTCCTGTCAGTCTCTTTCAGGAGAGCCCCTTCATGCCAATCACCTACATACATCTTCTCCCATGATTGCCCAGGGGAGTGCTTATCTGCATATCACTGAAAGTTGTGGGGGGAAGGGGAATGTCTGTGATGAGGACGTCTAATGTGCATGTTTAGGTTAAGCCACGACCAAGATTGTTTGCGCGCCCTATCGTGTGACTGGCCTTGTGTCCATCACATCACAAATGATAAAGCAATGCTTTTGTTTTTCTGGTGGGTTCTCATCAGCCTTATGATGCAGAAGATGTCAGGTTACACGGTCCTTTGATATGCCCGTAATATATACCTGCCCTGGTTGAGATACTGGGTACCATTGCTCAAAAGTAGGTTAAGTGTGCATAGTTCTTTTTTCCTGCTTCAATTCATATTGACTGCCATTGGAGACAGTTGGGTTTGAAATTTTTACTATGTGTTTAACTGCATCTTTAAGTAGTTAGGTTTACAGACCTTTTTTTTATCAGGTCGCTAGCCACAGTTAGTGTTTTCCTGTTTGATAAGCGTGCTGGCTTTAGGTGGGAAGAGTGTTTTGATGAGGAAAAATATTTGTGTTTTCAGAACATCTACAGTAGTTTTATTTAAATAAAAGTTGGAAAGATCTTTAAATAGGATTTGGTATGCTTCTCCGTAAGTTTGAAATGCGTGCAAGCTGTTATTGGCTAATTGTTTCAGAGAGTCAAAGTGAGTATTTCTTTGTGAAAATTGATTAAAAATGTGAATGAAGGTTTCCTTTTTGCTGATATAAACTGTAGTTTAAGGAAAATACCTAATTATGCTTAAATTTAATTTTTTAAAGGGGACAATACACCTATTCCGCAAATCACAGAGATCGTTGGTTGGAAAGTTAACACATGAATTTAGGTTGGTTGCAGCAGATAGAAGGGTAAGTAGTCTGAATACAGTTTTTTTTTTTCAGGTAGCTTGAAATGGAGCTCATGCATCCTATATTAATATAGATGTTGTAGTAATACTAACTCTGCTAAAAATATGTTTGTAGGCCAGAGTGGATAGAATCTGTGTTGTTATTAGTGCTCTGAATAGCAATGGTACTGTGTTACTGTATTTTCAACTTTAGTTACCTTATTTTTTGAATGGATTTGTGGAAAAATAAATGTTTCTTAACCAGTATGTGGTTCTTTACCGTTTGATTCTTGGTGCCTAACACTCAATTTCAAATCAAATATGATAGAATCAACAAACGCCAGGGAACAGGTATAACATACTTGGCAGGTAAAGCTTTATGCAGGTCCTGCTTGTTTCATTTGGAGCCAGGTTTGAACTTTACTGTTCTGTGTTTCTGAAATGAATGCGTCTCTTGCTGTGCTGGATGTTACAATAATAGCTTGTAGCTTGTATTTGTCGAATTCGAAATCTGAGTGCTTTTGAAAAGCTGGCATTCTATTTTGAGTAAGTGTGATGAGAAGTCATGTATTTCGTTTGCTATAACAGGCTGCTTGCCATTGGTGAACAGATGAATACAATTCAACAAGACTTTTTGTATTATTGAAATGAGGGCTAGATCACACATTCAACTGAAATGTATGGGATTTCTGTCTTGCCAGGGTGTGATGGATTAGACTCCGACTGCCATGTTAAGTTTTTGCCTTTTTTTTAGTTTAGTGCCTCAGAAAATATCCATTAATTTTCTGTAATCATCTAAGTTTTATTAATGTTTTTGGAGAATGAACCTCACGTTCCGTGTGTAGCATTGGGACTTTTACTAGGGCAAGACATTGGAAATAAAGTGCACTTCTGCTTGAAAAATGACTTTAAAATTAGCTTTATAGAGTTCCATGTGCGCTTTTTGTGGTACTGTATTCCTGGCAGTGAGTCTTACAAGTGACAGGTGTTTTTCATTAATGCTAGTCTTTAATTCATCCTGGGGTTTCTGTGAAGCTGGGTTTCTGTGCGTTGTCCTTGTCAATCAACGTTTTCCAGAACTACTGTACTTACAGTTGTCCTACTATACTGAATGTAAAGTGCAGATGTGCAGAGGTTTTGGGGACCTAAGACACAGCGTGAAAAACAGAACCCACGTCAGTCTCTTAGCTGTGCTGTTTCTTTAGGATAAAGGGTAGAAAATACACAACTGTGTAGTTTTGTCTTCAAGAGTCAGATGGTGTGTGCTGTAATAAAATGGAAATATTACATATGGGTGATTTTTTCAGAGCAGAAAGGTATTTTAAGCACAGCACATGATGGTGTTTAGAAATCAGTTTTGAGACGATCTGTACAGTTAATAATGGGATATGGGCTAGTTTTGAAATGAGTTGTACGTTTTAGGGGGAGGAGAAGCCAGTTCTACTTGCGTGTTGAAATGCTGCAGCATTGTTTTTTTTTTTTTTTAAATCAGATAGGTATATTGCTGTTTTATAACTTTTTTTTGCAAGAGGTAAAATGCATATTTTTTTGTCATTAACAGTCCTGGAAGATCCTGCTGTTTGGTGCTATAAATTTAATATGTATTGGCTTCCTGCTAATGTGGTGCAGCTCTACAAACAGCATAGGTGGGTGACTTTCTTATGCTGAAACTATGACTGACTATCATGTGTTTCTTAGTTGGTGAAGTTCAGTGAAGTTCTTCACATAAGGGGGTTAGGCAGCTGCACAGCCCGATTTCAACCATGCCTTCCTTTGAGGTGCCCCATAGTCAGTTCAAGAGAATTTCTTTTGAGAAGGGCATAGGAATGCATGTGAGGGTGAAAGTCCTTCAAAGTTTGCAGGGTTTACCAGAGCTTCTGGCTGATTTTCTCTCTGCTTTACCCTCTTTATCTTTATGACTGCGCAAAGGAAGACTTAGGCTAGTCCTTCCATCTTTTGCTGTTATGAATAGTTAACGGTGGCATATGGAGAACCTCACTTGCAGTTGAAAGGAGGCATTTGTAGTCTGGCAAAAGACTTCTGCAGTTCCAAGAATGCCCCTTTTTAATATTTTGTGTCTGTCCTACCTTTGTATAGAGGTCCCAACATGCTTCACATCATCTGTACTTAAGGTAGAATGCGCTATATTTTCAGTATGTGGTACAGTTTTTCTGGAGTTTCAACATGAGAGGGAGAAGTGGAACAAGTGAAAATTCTATTGAGCGTAATTTTCACAACAATGATGCATGTAGGAGAGATCTTTTGTTTTAGTGGAAGATGGGTTAGAAGATGTCCTGACGTTTCTGTGTTTAAATTCGACTAAGAACTATTTATTCTTGGTAGCTTTCTACTTTATGTAGTTGCAACTGCTACATGGTTTAATAGCATTAGGATTGCCGTAATCAGCCTGTTAAGGAAATGAAATATTGGTGTATTTAGGATATTCATACTATGCACACATGTAAAAGACAAGGATCTGCTTCATCAGGACAGAGAATTTGAGCGGGTAGAAAATGGTAAAGAGCTGCACAAGAGGGACTTAATATGATTTTTTTCTAAATGCAGAAGCTGCTTATATTCTGTTACGTTAAGTTTCAATATTTGCTTTCTTACAGCTTTAACTGCTTATACATATTTGACAATCTTTGATCTTTTCAGGTGAGATTTTTTTTCACTTAATCTTACAGTTAATTTTTATGCCTATCTTTGTGTATTTCATATTTAAAACATACATACACATATAAACACATGCTATTTAGAGTCATCAGTGATGAAACATTAACTGAGTTAAATATAGTATAAATGAGTACAAATTGTATATGAGCGTATGAATATATTGTATATGAGCCTAAAATAAAGAGGTGATGAGAAACACCATAGCTGTACTGAGTATAATTAGTAACAAATCGATTCAGTCATAGGTTTCTGTATGCAAGTGCCTAGCGACATAAATCAGAACTAGCATCAAACTGTTATCTGATGATTCACTCAAAACAACATTAGGGAATGCTGCAGTCGATGGTTCTGGAAGCTCCTTAGTTTTAGCATGAGGAAACAAAGAGCGTGCAATCCTACTTCTATTTTGAAACTCGTCAAGAGCTAGATGCCACACACTCTTCCAGTGAGGTCACTAGAACAGAATCTGTGTATAAGCTTTGTCGGCTATTGTCTGTTTTGACCAGTTTCTGAAGACTAAAACAGTAATTTTCCTCTCCAGTATTGAAAGATATTTTTAGTATTTTTTCCTGTTTCCTAAGAAAATATTATACCCCGTTTAAGTACGAAAATACGAGAGGATGTTGATAAGATTGGTAATGCAGACGTGGAATATATTCATGTCTGCTGTGGAATGTAGGTCAGTAGCAGTTGTTGGGAAACAAACTGTGGTATGTAATGCACCAAATACAGTTTGCAGATAGCTGATCCATACTTTTTGTAAATATTATAGGTTAGCCAGCTAGCGAGGAAGATAATGCAGTTTAATCACTAAGAAATGCATGTATTTTATGCAGCTTATCTGACTGATAGTAAAGCATTTATAAATTACAGCAGCACACGTTAAGAAAGGAAAGTGAGTGGTTGATACGGGGTCAAAAATATGCCTAACTTGATTTGCGACTGAATTAGAATTGTGATACACCTCTACTAAATTAATCTGTTACTTCTTTCAGAATTTCTACACTTGTTAAGTTTTGTCATCTTAAATATCTTTTTCATCTTGGGAAAAGTTTTAACGTGAGGTAAACCTCATATCATGTAGAATATTATTTTTTTTAATTTTGGCAGAGGATGAAATACCCTGAATATTGATGTACTGTGTTAATATAGGATGGACTAGAAGATTATTCTAACTCACAGCAGGCTCTTTAAAGAGTTTTAACTTGCTCTAGGGGTGAGCAATGTTCAGTGCTTCTGCTGCAAAAATGGCTTTCTTGTTTTTTATTTTTGTCATTTTCCTGGTCATCTGTAGCAATCTGACTGAGTATGTGAATTTACTTTTTTGAATGTGAGCAATATTATTTCCTCTGCTTTTGTTTGTACTTCAAGCAGCTGTGGATCAAGTTGTGAGGATGTGATTGTTAGATTGCTATGGGGATGAGTTCTTCATCCAGTCTGATTTAACACTTTAATTAAGAAAGGGCTGCATAAAGTCAGAGGTGGCACTGATTTGGGGTGGGTACCAATTAAAAAAAAAAAAGGGGGGCATCAGTAGAAGAAAAGTAGTCACAGGAAATAAGATTCATCCTTGAAAAACTCAAGCTAATACCTCAGGGATAAAATAATTTGAATTTTAGACATTCTGTATGAGGGATAAGCTTGGAAAGAAAATAGCAGGAGAGACCTGTGGCTGTCAGTTGATGGCCAGTTAGATTAAGACTTTGTGCGGTGAATGCAGCCAAAAAGGCAAATCCATTTTGGCCATGTGTGTAGACATAGCATTGCCTGAGACTTATTCAAGAATGATAAATTAATTTCATGGTGTGTCCCTAAAAGAAGGGTTTAATAGAAAGCTTTCTTTACTTTTTCACTGAGGTACAAAGGGAGCGGCACAAAGGGGGACAGCCCTGTTGTCTTGCTTATCACCTTTCTTCTCATTTAAATAGCCTTGCTTAGGTTATAGTATTTCCAGGCTTGTTATGCAGTTCGTAAAGCACCTGTAAGAAGAGCATTTAGTGGGTGTGTATGTTGTTAATTTCATGGGCTTTTGTTTGCTTTGTGCTCTTCATTAATATGTGTGATGTCAGATAGTATTAAAAGGGTTTTCTCAAACCACCTTTCCCCTTTTAGTCGGGTTCTGGCGTACCTTGTCTCGCACTCTCCAGTTCCCTTTCAGAGGAATTTGTGGAGTACAGGCAGATGAAACACCAGCTGCTGTTTTGTGTCTTCAGCAGAAAAACGCATTGCATTCAGGGTTATGATAACCTTAATTTAGTCTGAGGGATGTTCTATATTGAAGAGGTTGATGGTAGTCCTTGTAAGTACAGCACACACTGTAAGTATGGCATAAAAGCATCTCTAAGAAGGAATTAGGAGTTAGGCTGATTACCGTTCTGCTAAAACTCACTTGCTGCACATTTTATGAGGACAGCAGAGACGTCATCATGTAGTCTCAGCTTTGTTTCCAAATATCCTTATTTGGATTTATCAGAACCTTCACTGTGATAATGATGGAAGAGTTGAGTACATGGTAAGATGTTAAATTCAGACATTCAGTTCTGATGGCTGAAATGTATGTTTGTAGATTATCTAGTTTGTGAAGGCTGCGGTGGTTTATCATAACACAATTCTCCCCGTTTATTCCAGTTTGGTAACGTGTCTAATAAGCTACTGGGTGATGATGAAGAAACCCAGTCCAGTCTATTCATTTGGGTAAGCAGATTCAGTGTTGTTTGATAATACAAGGTTTGATATATTGTTGAATGTCATTATCTGTATCACATAATTGCCATGACTAACAATCTGTATGTAAAGAGTGCCTAAAAATTAAGGAGACCCAAGACTGGGTCCTTTTCTAAAGAAAAGTTACAGAAAAGAGGAGAAGAAAGGGGAGAGAGAGGAAGAAGAAGTAAGAAATGCTTAATTTTAAGGTGGAAAAAAGAATTAAGTGCTTAACTGTAAGCTGGAAATTATAGTCTTTCTTCTTTCAGAATCAACTTGTTCATGATAAATGGCGTGTTGGCTTCAAGGAAGGTGGAAATTACGACTTTTCCCTAAAACTTCTGCTTTCTTCCCATCTATCTTCACTTGAAAGAATTAGAAATACTAGGTCTATCCTGCTTGTTCCTGAATAGACCAAAATGCATTTGATACATTGTTTGATGTTCACTGTTTCTAAACTTACTTCTTAAATTTCAGGTTTGAGAGATTTGAAGTTCTAGCTGTTTTTGCTTCTACGGTTCTGGCACAGCTTGGTGCTCTTTTTATACTAAAAGAAAGGTAGGGATATGTACTGTTTTCTTTGATTTTTTTTTTTTTTATGTAAGAAGATATTCCAGGTTGAGGAAAAGCCTATGCATTCTACAAATGCTATTTCGAGTGAGGTATTTTTGAAAATAACTTCTTTTTTAAAAAAATGTTATATTGATTACACTACAAGTAGATTTGAGGTAAAAAGGATAGGAATTGGTAAATATAATTAAACAGCTATTAAAGACAAGACTCAATATTCTAAAAAACCACATTTTCCAGACACTCTGCTGGGAACTTGATTTAACGTGTTTCACTATGCATCTTGACTTTTTGGGTTAATCAATAAAGAAAATACTTTTGCTGTTCTTTGGTTTTTTACTTCATGAAGTAAAGCAGTCCCGTAGCATTATATTAAGGATCTTTTTAAAAAAAAAAAAAAACAAAAGAGACTTTTGTTAACATCTGGAATTTAAAACTGGGGCTGCATCCTTTTGCTTTTCTCTCCAGGGGCTCTATTTTCTCTATAAAGGGCTATGTTAACAACTTAAGAATGTTATACTAGAGGCAGATCTGGTGCAAATCACTGACAGTACACTGGTTTGACTTTTAATAACGAGGTATTACAAAACTAGATGCAAGTCCCGAATTTTCCATCATTAGTTTCCTGACCTTATCCTAGATTTTTCTCTGTTACAACTGAAGCTTAGTTCTTATTTTACTGCGAAAAAAATTGTGCATCTCTACTGTAATATCCAGCATCTACTTTTGTTGAACTTGCTTAGCAGGCTGAAATGCAGAGATTTCAAACTTAATTTGTTGCAGTTAACGACAGTGGTGGTGGCAGTAACAGTATTTTCTGGCATGTGCATTTACAAATGTCTTTTGATTGTCTGGGCAGCTCCCTTGATACCTAACACCTACGTGGCACAGTCTGGAAATGGTTCGAAAATCTAGATTATACCCTGCTTCATTTCACTGTTAAATTTTTTCATCACTTATAAAAACTGCTAAGCTTATTTAAACAATTTATTTTAGCACTTGCAGGTTTTTTGCAGCACTATATCTCACAGCTTTTCTTTATGAATCCCAGCTAATTTTCTGGAACTGAAAAAATATGATTCTAGTGTCAAGATTTTTGTGTGTGAATGTAACTGAAATTTTAAATTATTTTTTGTAGTGCAGAGCGGTTTCTGGAACAACCTGAAATACACACGTAAGAAATTATTTTGACATGTAAAATTATAGGTTTTTCAGTGTCTCTATGTTTCTGATTCTTAAAATACTTCTAGCATGTATTATTTATGGCAAGTTCATTCAATGCCTAGTTGTTTTTGGTACCTTGGTATTTGTTTCAAACTGTAGGCAAGCTATATGGTAAACAACGTTTTTTTAAGGTACAATTGAAATGTAATCCACATGTTCCCATAAATAATAATGATTTAACTGGATATTGCTGGTTTGAGTAATTTAATTACTGGTAATTTTGGTAATTTATTTTCTCTTATTTCTTGTGTTTTAATGTGGTTTCTTGAGGACATGAGGCATTTGCTCTTTGTAAGTTTCTGTCCTCCTATAACCTGACAACAGGTGGGACATCCTAAAGATAGTAAGTTATGGTTTTTTTGACAGCTGGAGCCTGGGTAGAGAAGAGGGAGCCAAGTTAGTGCTCACATTGTAGGAAAGGCTCCAGGGTGAGCTCACCAGTTATTCTGGCAGGGGGCGGGGGCTGGGTTTGGGTTTGGGTTTGGGTTTGCTGGCCAGATACTCACCGTGCACATGCATTTGACCTGACTTGTCCCTCAGCACATTCCTAGTTTAGAAAGAGTTGCATCCTGTGCTGCCTCTTGCCAAACCACAAATGAGGAGACCTGGTGTGTGGGGAAGGATGCTGTGATTATTGGGAAACTGGAGGTATTGCATAGATGATGCAGATGGTGGAGACTGTAAAAAACATGGGGAAAGAATGGAAGGTGTTATGGGGCAAAAGATGGGGACGCGGGAGGTATGGTGAAATTGGAATTCCCCTAGGAAAGGGCAGGGGTGTAGGGCATAATTCCGTAGGAAACTAGGCTTCATTAGTTCTACTGCTGAGGGGATAATGTGTTTATATTTTCAAAGGACAAACTTTCTATACATACATTTAATTGAGAACTGTTTCCCAACTTAGCATTATGAACATTATGTTCAGTCTCCTGTGATAATATTAATGTGCCGTGTTCATCGATCTCATGTATTCCCCTAAAATGATAATATGCTGCCAATTATTAAGTGTACGCTGTTTTATCTTAGTCCTGTTTTCAGTCTTAGTAGAAAATACCCAGTAAAGTATTTTGTTATTGTTAATAGTAACTCCAGCTTAATTTCATGTGTTGTGATGCTAATGAGAGGTGAAGGCGCATCTTTCTTTTCTTCCTTAGGGGGAGACTGCTGGTTGGTACTTTCGTGGCTCTCTTTTTCAACTTATTCACAATGCTTTCCATTAGGAATAAGCCTTTTGCTTATGTCTCTGAAGGTATGTGATAAATTAATCTATGACAAGAATTGAGAAAAAGTTTTAGTGTTACCTATTCTTATTGAGGTATAACTTGTCTGGTAAATTTCTTAACTAGCAGGTATATACTACTATTATCTCCATGAATATAACTTAAAGCAGCTTGGAACTGTCTTCCAGATTTCTTCTCTGGCTTGTTTGTAGGGCTCTCTCAAAGTAATGCCTAGTCATTAACATGATAAACTGAGTTACCATTTTAATGATAGAGTATTCTTTATTTTTTAACCTTTTGTGTGCAGCCAGTGAAGATAATCTTACACGTGATCAGAACTTTAAAGACATCTTAATGATTTATTATTCGTTGAAAGAAACAAGCAAATGTAATAATCCTTCTTTATAACACTTTTACCTGGGACTTTTTCATTGTGAAGTAGGTTTGCAGTCGTTCCCACTGTTGGAGAGCCATTGCATATTGTGAACACTTGTAAATTAAGTGAGAAGCATTCTTTTTTTTTTTCCATTTTTTTTCCTATATTTTTGCTATATATATGCTTCATTTTGGTGAATATAATTTTATTTAAATTGTTTATAGCTTTAATTAGAGTGGATAAAGTTATATATAATACTATACATAATATGAACATCTGTTTATAATCTGCAGTTATATGTGTATTTAGTCAGCTCAGATATAATATGGGACAAAAGTATTTTACTTACTACCTGCCTGGAAAAGTCAAACTTTCTGTTTTTTCAAGTGACAGTGAATCTGTTGAGATACATTTATTCATTCACAGAGTACTGGGTTCTTATCTTCAAGCAAAACTTGAAGGGTATAGTAAAGCTTTCCTGAGCGGTTTTATTACCTTCTTTTGCAGCTGCCAGCACAAGTTGGCTTCAGGAGCATGTTGCAGATCTCAGTAGAAGGTAAAGCTTCACAATGTTTTTAAAAATTGCTAACTTGTAGAGGGCAGTGGGTGTTTAGTGCGTAATAGCATTTTAGAACAGGTGTTGAGACACAAACTGCTAGGTATTTTAGCTCTTTTAAAATAGCTTTACCTATTTTATATCCAGTGTATGGATTCTAGCCAAAACGGTGTCCCTCTTATTTCCCATATGTATCAGTCTGATAGAAATGCGTCTTTCTACATAACTTTGCTTTTGAATGCATTCAGTACATTGTATGTAATTCTCCTTGGATGAGGCTGAGATAAACTAGCTTTGTTTTGTACAGACTTGAACTGCGTTTCCTAACAACTGTTGCCTACCTGAGCAATGTGTTTTCTAGTAATTTATGTTTAATTACTCGTAAGCAACTAGGATGGTTTCAGTTTAAATACAGTATGCGAAATACAGTCCTCACTTAAACTTTGCTGTGGAAACACCTCACCAGTCCAGCAGGGAACTGAAAAGCCTGTCTCTTCCAAGGATTGAAGTATTGTTTGTCACTCATCTTTCCTGCTAACTCTCTTGCTTGTACTGGATATCTGAATGCCAGATAACATCATTCACAAATATTTTTGTCAGATACTGGAAGTGTTTATTTTGACCCATACAGGTCCTTCTGAGTAGTTATGCTCTCACTATAATGTTAACCTGTATTGTGTATGCTAACCTGCATTGTGTGTGCTGCAAAGCCCATCTGTTTCCAAATGTTGTAATTGTGCATATAGCTGAGGACAGCCGAAAACGCTGGTGTGTTAAACACAAAAGAATTGATTTTTGTAAGACTGTGGTGTTTAAATCATCAGACCCACGTTCTGCAAAGCACGGCTTTGGAACAGTAGCAATAGGACTGCCTGATTATCTGGAGTTTCAGCGTAGAAAAACACGGATAGTAGTCAGAGAGAATAGCAGAGTGTTTTTTTAATCGTGTGGTAATACAATGTTATGGGGAAAAACATTGTAGAAAGATAGCTCGATGAGCTTCAAGATCGAGTGGATTATTATTAGGTTTTGAAATAACCTGTGTACATTTACACTAACATTTAAAAAATCATTTTATTAAAACCAGTTGGCATTTATTTATACAGCTGTTTCAAATGTGTTCTATGAAACAATACTGTTTACAAAATAACTGCACCCATATATAATGATTTTAAGTAAAATTCTTACAGGAGTGAACCAGCACACTATGTCCCGTATTGGCTGGTTCCAAACAGAGCAACAAAGAATTTCACGTTATCTTTTCCTCCAGAGTTTGCAATACCTGACATTTGCTAATGTTCACTGGGAAGTGCAGAAACCCTTTTCATGCTGTAGAGAGTGAAAGAACTGTTACCTGTTTTCTGTCATGGGTGTTTTGGTCTCGTCTAGTCAGGTAGCTGGTTTGCCCCCACTTTTCAGGCTTGTATGAATTAGCTCTGAGTTTAGCACATTTCTGAACACCAATAAGGCAAATGGATTGAAGACTAATAGTATACAACCCCCTTAGAATCACATATGAGTAACAGCAATATCTGTGTATAGTATATATGTTGCGTACAACTCGCACAGGTAGGTCTGTCACTAAAAAAGCAACGTACCAAAAGATACGTATTTGAATGTGTAGATAAAGTGTACTAACATTATTCTTGTATACCTTTGTAAATGGGAAGATGAACTTAAAAATATATATAAGATGCAAGAGGCAAGTCTTGCTCTCAGATATGAGAGAGAACGTGATGTGGCTCTAAACTCGGTTAGTTTTTGCGGGCATCAGACTATTGCAAAACTTTGAGCAGCATTACAAGAGCATTAACAGTCCTCGGAGATAATTGCATGCAGAGACTGCAAGGTGTATTTGGTCGTTTGTTTTCTGTAGTAATGCTGAACAGCTGACAACGGCTTGTTTTGTTTTGTTGCAGTATTTGTGGAATCATCCCAGGATTGAGTAGCATCTTTCTGCCACGAATGAACCCTTTTGTCTTGATTGATATTGCTGGAGCTCTAGCCCTTTGTATTACTTACATGCTGATTGAAATTAAGTACGTATAGTTGTTGTTTAAAGAAAATAATCCTTTTTATAGCTAATTTATGGGAAATTTAATTTTTTTTACTGCAAGCAGTGATCTTATCAAAAGTTGAATTTCGTGTGTAAGGGATTGTGACTATGAATATATTTGGCTTTATACAAAGATGTATAGTTCTGATCAGTATATGATATTGTATATGTGGAGATCGTTTCAAAGAATGAAAAAGTTCAGAAGAAAATTCTTATGCCTTTCAAATACTTAAATACCTGTTTTTCTTTAAAATTGCTCTTTCTCGCCAGCAATTATTTTGCTGTAGACACCGCCTCTGCTATAGCAATTGCTTTGATGACTTTTGGAACCATGTATCCCATGAGCGTCTACAGTGGTAAAGTACTACTTCAGGTAAGACAATGTCACAAAACAAGTATTTTGTGGTTTCAGTTTTGTAAAATATCCTTACTTTAAAAAATCCATTATTGATCATTCAAATGGGAAAGGTTCCAGGAGGACAGGGCGCTAAAGGAATTCTAAGTGCAATGCAAGTATGTATCATGGAATCATAAGAATTTTATTGTGCCATGCCATTGATCTCATGTAGGTAGACCAGACTTAGAGGCTTTTCTATTTAAAACAGAGCCAGTTAATATTTATTGTAACGTTTTTTTTTTGTTTGTTTTTTAGACAACCCCACCTCATGTGATTGGCCAGTTAGATAAACTTCTTAGAGAGGTGAGTCAGTGTATAACACATGAGACAGTGCTTGCATGCAGCTAACACTAAGTAAGCATAGAGGAACCTGAAGACTTTTTTAAGTTCAAGGAGGTTACTGAAGAATTGTGTTTTATTTTTTGTTGCATGTGGAAAATATGAAGCTTATTATCTAAGATGAACAGAGTTATTCAGATATCTGGAAAAGACTCCTTAAAGTGGTGCAGGTGGTTATTTTTCTTTTTTCTTTTTTAAACTAAAGTTGAGCTACTGTTGAAGAGATTTTACAAAAGTGAGCGGGGGGAAGAAGGAGTAAAGAAGTCTGTTCATTTGTGGTCTATCAAGTTGAGAAAATGTTGCAAATTGACAGCAGAAATCCTGATTTACTTAAAAACAAATTCCCTTTTTTTGGTGGAATTGCATGTTTAGAGGTAGCAAAAATACAGTGAGATGCAACATTAGTGGCAACAGACCTGGTCTGTTCTGCATTCTGGTAGCTTTTGTTTGACTCAGAATGCTATTATTCAGTTACATGGGAAAGTACATTTCTAAAAAGGTATAAAACAATCTTTCTGTCTATTTTTGTATTACTGGACATTTGTGTAAAAATTAGGTTTCAACTTTGGATGGTGTCTTGGAAGTTCGAAATGAGCATTTCTGGACATTAGGTTTTGGCACTTTGGTAAGTTATATCTTTGTGTTCTTAGCCTTCAAAAAGCATCGGTTAGTACTTTTATATTTTTATTTAAATAAAGTATTTCTTCTCCTTTAAAGAAATGTAAAAATTTGGATGAAATCGGTACTGAGTCCTTTCTTGTGATTTATTGGAAAACTTTCCTCTTACCCTCCTTTATATTTTTTAAGCTTTGCTATTGGTTAATAATGTTCATTACTATTGAGCTTTTGATTGAAGAATGCACTTCAGAACCTTAGATTTTTTTTTGTATTTTGGCAGTGATGAAATCCCCAAACAATAGCAAGGAAATTCTTCAAAAGATGTATTACTGTAAATTGTCTCTGAGGGGAAACAGAAAAAATTGGAAACTTTCAGGTACCAAAAGTAAGAGGCCTACAGTAGGATCATATATGTTCAGCCGTAATAAAAAAAAAACTACAGTTGTATGCTGATATTGTAGAAGGTGGGGAAAAAAGTGAAAGTTTTCTGATATGGAGTGATCATACAGAACCGAGTGATTCCTGAGCTGATGCAGGTACATCGTGACAGCTAGAAGATTAAGACTGTTAGAACTTTTCTCCGCTCCTGAGTTCTTCCAGTGTGTTACCCTTTAAAAAAAGTTATGGGCTCTGTTGACTTACTGGTGTGAAAATGGCCTTCTTTCTACCCTTTTGTCACTCAGAATACTGGATCACAGCATTGTTGGATTAATCACAGGTAGTTAAAAGACTTCTGCATGCATATTTGCCTATTGGCATCTTTCAGACTCTAGTGAAAAGTTCCTGAGAACTGCCTGTATGCCACTATATGCCTAGTGCTGCCCCATCTGATGTAATTCCCTGTATGTCACAAGCTGTGAACTAAATTCTTCATTAAATAGGAAAAGAAAAGGCATCTGAGGGGTACAATTTTGTTTCTTGTCTGCAACAGTAGTTCCAGGTAAAAGATAGTGTTACTGAGAGATAGGCTGGGACAGCGAGCAGCTGTGCGCACTTCCAAGAGAAACTCTGTGTTGCTTGAGTGGCAGCACCCCTGTTCTCGCTAAGGGGTCCCAATCTGAGTTTATCTGCTGGGTGTATTGTCTCCTGTCTGCACCAACAGCACAACGATGATACTTCTTCCTAAATGTGGAACAGGGAGCTTGTGTGTGTTTTGATCCTCTGCTGGGACTTTTTTTCCCCCTAGTTGTTGGCTTTCCCTTTCTTGTCATCATATGTTGTACTTTATACTTATTTTTGGTTTTAAGGCTCCAGAACTTTTCGTGAATGACAATCTTGATGTGTTCATGAGAGGTCAACACATTAGGAAAGGTCAAAATGTAACCTAATAATTGGAACTATTTAATACATGTTTCTCTATTTAGTCATTAGTCTCCACTGAGAAAGGTCTTTGCATAGTTTTTTTTTAGGATAACTTTACTCTTCTTGAGTGCGTATGGAGAGTCTTTACTGAAGGAACAGTTAACAGCCAATTTATTTTTATCATTTTCTAGGCTGGATCAGTACATGTCCGAATTCGGAGAGATGCAAATGAACAGATGGTACTTGCCCATGTCACTAATAGACTATACACGTTGGTCGCTACCTTGACTGTTCAGATTTTCAAAGATGATTGGATCAGACCTACCTTGTCATCTGTGCCTATTGCAAACAATATGCTGAACCTTTCGGATCATCATATTATTCCTATGCCATCTTTGAAAGCTGCCGATAATTTGAACCCTGTCACATCCACTCCAGCCAAGCCTAGCAGTCCACCGCCAGAATTTTCTTTTAATACACCTGGAAAAAATGTGAACCCGGTTATACTTTTAAACACTCAGACAAGGCCCTATGGATTGGGCTTTAATCATGGATCTGCACCTTACAGCAGCGTATTCAGTCAAGGATTTGGAATACCAGGAATGGGAGCAACTCAAGGATTCAGAACTGGTCTTACAAATGTCCCAGGCAGATACGGAACAAACACTCATGGTCAACCCCGGCCATAATAAACACCGTTATTTATTGTACTGAGGGTATTGACTTAATTCTTTTATTACCTAATTTTTATAAACATTTGGAATATCAGAGCGTTCTAAATGGCTGGGAACAAGTGCATTGTTCATATTCATGGAATGGTCAAATTACGTTTTTTTTCTTTTTTTTTTCTTTTTTTTTTTCCTTTGCATCAGCAATAGCCTGTGTAATGGCACAAATATTTTCGAGGCTTACAATACTGTACAGGTAGTTTTTATAGTGTGTCTGTTCCCATTCAGCTCCCTTCTTAAAGAATGACAGCTCCATGAGAGTAAAATTGCGAACTGATAACTTTGGGGTGGCGTGGGGAAGGGGCTGGGGAGAGAATTGCTTACTGAATGATGGTTAATTAAGAGAGTAGGGAGTTGCAGAAGTACACATCCCTTAAAAATATTTTGATAGCTGTATTAATCCATGTTTTGGCAAAGTCACAACTAGTTTTTCCCGGGTTGCAAAAACCTATCAATATTCATATTAATGCCATTGTGAAGACAAACTGGTATTTCAGATTCTAATTAATTTTATGAGAGCATGTTTTTACATTTTTGTTGATGTTTTTATGGGAGTTCAGATGGTTCAGCAACTATTTTCTAGCTGTAAGTGTTCCATATTAGTCTGTGACTTTTTTCTTTTTAGGTTTAATTGCAAAATTACTTAGCAATATACTGCAAAATAAAATATTTCAAATGTAAGATTTTACAAGCACATCTTGCTTACGGTTAACCCTATCTAAAATACAAAACAGATGACTGTATTGTTTGTGAAGCCAGTATTTAGTTGTTGACTATTGAAAGTATTCTTTGATTTGATTGTGACTTTATGTTTTTCCTGTTTGTGTTTTTCCTGCATTTCCAGGAAAAAAGGAGCTGCTTATATACCTGGTTTATATCCCGAGTACAGGTTAGGTTGGTGATTGCTGACACTTGTTAGCGTCAGTGCCAGAGAGGTTAACTTTTGGGGCACACCGGGAATAAGACTGCCTAACTTGTCTCTGCCTTTGCGTTGTTGTTCTATTGTACATCAACAAGGCTTTATTTCTTCAGGGCTTTTCTAAGAGAGCTCTTCCCTCTGACTGCTATCTTTTTCTTCATTGCTCTGATAAAAAGGCCTTTCAGAAATACTTTAATTTTTTCTCTTCTTCCCTGCTGTATGAATCTTTTAATTTCCTAGCCAGTACCTCCACTGCATGTTCTTCTGCATCTTGGCTGTTCAGGAATGGGTTGCCCTTTCCTGCTGTTTCACTTGCAACTCAGGGTGCTATATATTGACTTCCACCTTGTTAATTTGTGTACTAAGTAGGTGTCCATCTGTCCAAAGTAGTTAGAGAGCTGCAGTATCTCAGGGACTCCGCAGATATTAATATATTACCTGAAGATAATGGATTTGATAGAGAGAAAAGTCTTTTTCTCCTGTAGAACTAAGTTGAAAATAACCCCCAGCCTTCATGTGAATTTTCAAGCTCTGTAGCCTCTTCACAATGGCTGTGGAGCGCTTCATTTCTTATGAGAACGTTGCTTTCCTCTTTGTTTTTCCACTACCTGTAGTACTCTCTCTGACATATGGAGGAGGGCTTCACTCTTGCAAACAAAGCAAGGTGGCATGCTGCATGACAGTGTCTTGCTGAGATTTTGTAGGCTGAGGGCAGTGTGCTGAGAGCCGCTGGTACACAGTATACGTAAGTTACAAGTAAGGAATCTAGTTCTGTACTTCATTTGCAGCAAAAATAATAGTGAGAGTGCTGTGATAGAAGATGTAATGACCTGGGAAACTTGTATTAGAAACGACGGTGAACTTGTAAGTACAGGCGATGTTTTTCTGAAAGCAGCATTAGCTCAGTCGTCACCTTTCATTATTCTGTCTTTGTGAAGTCAGTCTCCTATCAGATGTGCCCTTGCTGCATGGGAATTCACTGAAGCACAGAACATTTGAACAGATTCTCTTTACCTCTCGGGTGCTGAGCTAGACCGCGCTCTCTACGATATCTTCAACGCCTTGGAGCCAGCAGAATGTTTACAGTACGCTCCTCTTATGTGGCCTGAGAACTGTTCCTTTCTCCAGTTTCATAACCAAACATTTCTCTTTCTGTGACAATTTAAATATATTGTCTTATATTGATTGCATGCCTACTTGTTTTTAGTAGAAAATTAAAGCTTCATTTTGTTAAAAAATGAGGCTGATCTTTGATTCAAAGTGGGAAGGGAGAACAGAATCCCAGAATTCTGAGTGCAATATGATCATGAAATATTTTTTGGAATAATTGTTTACAATATATATCTAATCTGCAGATGATAAAGATTCTTTTAGACAGTAGAACAGCTTTTTAGCTGCTTTATTGTTATGAATTTATTCAGACTGTTTGTTGAATCAGCATAGAGTCAAGTATGATCCTTAAAATGACAAGGAAAAAAGTGGTCATTTATGTGCAGGATTTTATAGTTATCTTTCTATATATTGATGTTTAAATCATTCTCTCAGGTGATATTTCAGTCTCGATAAGCAGATGTGTGAAACTTAGCAGAACTAAGTGTTTTGCTGGGTGTGCTACCAGTCTAAACTGAGTTCTTGCGGTAATTCTACCAAAAGGAATTTTACTGCATTTTGTCTTTTCTAATTGTATTTTACTTTTAGTGTTATATGGTCACAATCAGAAGGTGTATTTGAACTGTGGTGAATAAGAACTGCTGGTTTAGGCTGTCTTCATTCATGATCCAAAAGCTGTCCCAGCTAGAGGAAGAAGAGGGCATATTCTCACTGTTATTTCTATCTGCCAGAGGATTCAGCATTGTTAGTTCTTTAGCCTGTTCAAACTGTTTGCATAGGAAAGTGGCCACTTCGGAAGCACATAAATGCATCAAGTTTTAGAGTATCTAAGGGATGTGTATCATTACTTAGGCTAGGTTTATTGTGACAAAGTGATAATGTTGTTCAGTGGCTAGCAAACTGAGTTGTCCTGAGTGGCAGCTAGAGCTCTTTCTGCACTACGAATAAATAATGATGTAATGTGTTTTTGTGGCAGCTTTATCTATTGTGTAATGGCTCTTGAGTTCATTTTGTTCTGCATTCCCTTCCCCCAGATAATAAGGACATACACCTTTCGGAGGACTCTTGACATGCCAGTGACAGGCTGCCAGGAATGGGAGATAGATTTTTAATCGACTGAGATGTGACAAATCCCGTTCAAGGGAAAGACTTGTACAGCAGTCCTCCTGATTTGTGTTAACTACTGGGTTCCCTGAAATCTTTCAGTTGATTTGCTTCCCCTGCTGCCACCATCCAACGGGGAAGGAGAAACTACCCAGGGACAGGATCTTCAGTGTAAAGACTGCCTGTCTGAAATCCCGAGTGCTTATCTGTAGTCTGCATAACCAGATCCTACAGATGTACTTAGTGATATCAGTGTTGAAACTGAGAGTGGAAGTGATTCCAGTCCAGGTCTCTTCACTTATCTTCTTCAGCTATTTGCCAAATGGCTAGGCTTTCTCCTACCTGCTTTTTCTCCTTTGCAGTTGTAGCAGTGAGGACCCATCTTGCACCATGGTCTTCACTTAGTGGCTATTTTAGGTTTCCTCTGCTTGTTATGGCTTAGATTCTCATTCCACAGGGTATGTTTTCTTTCTAGCCGTTATTTTTTAAATGAATGACAGATCATTTCAATTGCTAAGATAACGACCTTCTACTTTTTCAAAAAATTACAGCGGTCTGCCTCTTCAAGGAAACTCCTTCCAGGGCTCAAATGCAGTTAAGAGAGGGCATCTTTTTGTGTACTTAAAGGATACCTACCCTTCATGTTCTGAGAACCACCGAAAACTGTGATAGCAACCTACATCTCACTTCTTCGAACTGAGTAGGCACAACTCCAGAGAGCTGCATGCTCAGGCAGTGAAGAGTTTGTGCCAAACTGATATGTCAGACACTTGGTTTAAACCATGTGGTTAAATTACAGTTTCAGCTAACTCTCATAGAGATTAAGAAAAGAAATGAGACATTCCCTAATTGTAACAACCCTCTGATTCTTCCATTTCATAATGAAGCCTGTTTTAAGTAACTTAAATTCTTGCTTAACCAGAGTATCTGACAAATTCTACCGCAGTGCACTCTGCCAATACCTAATGCATTTTTTCAGAGGATTTGCAAAGTAGGAAGTACCAAAGAAGAGTTGACCTGTGAAAACATACTTAGCCACAAACATTTCTGTATATAGCCATTTTTTAATCTTTTTTTCTTTTTTTATCTTTGTACCTTTCTTATCTTTTTTGTTATCATTTTTGTCCTCATAGTGGGGCTCAGTAGAGATAGGTGCCTTATACTGGTCAGAGTAATCAGACTTCAGAAGATAATAATTAAGCATGTCATTCTCAACAGGTGGCAATAGAGGAAAATACGATAGCAAATACTTCAAATAGCTTTGATTTAATTCACGTAAATGTACAGCAATATTTATCTGAAAATAAACATGACTGTCCAATTGTGAGAGGTTTTTTTATTGTGTTTTACTTCAGAAATTGCATGCAAAATGTCAAAAACACATGGAAAGAGTTCTCATAAATGTAAAAATGATGGGAAAATGTTAAAAGTGGCATTTCTGTTTGGTCTTGAGCAACAAAAATTGATGGAGTTTCATTTTCAGGGTGTAATGTAATAGCACAGTTTTGCAAATTTGCATCACTCTAAATATATTTTTCTATTGCAACTTTAAAATATGTATGTAAATATTTATCTTATGTTCAGAAATGCTTGCTTTTAGCAAAGAGTAAAATATAGGCAAAATTTGACGTGATTACGACTCTATAGGTTATCTCTTTGTTAAATCTCTGCACGGGGTAAAACTTTCTAATGGAAGAAGCCGTCTGAGCAGGAAGTACTAACTTGTTTTTTCTGAGTTCATCCTCTACCAGCTTGATTTTTCTTTTTTTTTTCCCCCTCCCATCAAATGCTGTTATTTTTTTCTCCTCAGGGGAAACAATAATTCTATAGGTAGCTTTTGAATATTGTTCTCCTGGCTACTTCTAGTAGTTGGTTTCATTCTAGGCTAGATTTTTGCCACAGTGTCATGCTGAATTTCTTGAATAATTCCACCAGGGAATTTATGACCACAGGGTGATTAAACGGATGAGTATCTTTTTCTGATACAGGCTGTGGCTGGCCCATACTGTTGGGTTCTTAAACTGTCTCCTTGCTTCTTACTCTCCTGCTTATTTTAGTTTAGCTAGATAGCACTCTGCCTTTAAAATCATATTTACATAAAACTATAGTTTCTGAAATGATCATATTCATAGTATGATTACTTCTGATGCAATCAGTATTGCAAACAGCAATTTTTGTTGTTTTGTTTTTGGGGCGGAAGATGTGTCAAATTGTGAATGGATGGTGGGTGCTGGGCCTTGTGCTCCCGCAGAACACCTGCTCTTCCGTTTATATCTCCTGTGTGTAGTCAAAGTGTGGTGGAAATCCCCACATACCTTCCTGCTAGCATCACTTGCCCCTACACTCCTCCAACAAATAGTATCTAGCAAAGGAGAGAAAGAGAACTGTTTTAGGGCAGTTTTATGGTGGTCAGTTGTCTGCGGAGAGGAGCTCTTGCAGTACTCCTCTGGGGAGCTCCTTTAGGGGAGCGAGGGTGGGGAGTAGAGAGGATTACAAATTCCTTCTTTGTGTCAGGAATTCTACCGGCTTTTTCAGGATGAAATAGTTCAGTTCAACCCAAAGCAGAGGTATGCTTTAATGTGAATTTTGCCTCTTACGATAATGTTCTCTAAATTTCCACTGCTGACCAGTGGAAAAGTTGGTCACGCCTTGTAAAAACTGTAGCTAAACACTTAAGTTAGGAGGCATTCCCTCCTGGGAGCTTAGTCTGTGGCGTATAAAACAGTGATAACAACGTGGAAAAATTCTGTTTTCTTTTTTTCTTTGTTCATGGCAAGACATGGAAAGATCAATTTCTTTCCAGGCTGAAACTAGTTCTTATTTAGTGGTATCTTTATATCAGAAAACTGAATCAGTTTATCAAGAGCTTTTGCAATATTTTGCTATGCTTTAGCGCTCTCCAATGCAATTTTAATAGCAAACTTGAAAGTGGGTAAACAGTATTTAAAATAACGTGTGATTTGTTGCCAGTGTAATTTATTACAGATTGAGATATTCCAGTACAAACACTTGCAGGATTTTGCTCAGATTGTCGGTAGTGTTTTTGTCAAGGTTTTCTTCTGTGTCCTCCATAGTATGCCATACTTCAGGAAAAGGGGATGGAATCAGATGTAGGACTGGAACCCCTATGAGGAGAAAGAGAATTTGGAAGAAAAAAATAGGATTTTTGGTAAGCAAATGAGTATGTTACCACTGGGTACTAGAGTCAGGTAACTAACTGCTCGGTACACTTACTTTATAGAGGAGTGTGTGTCACTGCAGTTGCCTTTCAGCTTCTCTTTCTCCCTCTTTTTTAAGACACCTGTAGCTAGTGATTTTACTGTGATACCTGCTCTGTGTTGTTTTATTTGGGATTTTTTGCACTGGAATTGTTACTACTGTGCTTAGGAGCTATAGAAGAGCAGAGAAACCACTGCATCTCCCCAAATCCAAAACTGATTACCATCTTCGTTTTGTAACAGTGTTAGGATTGAGCACTTTTTTGAAGCACTTAGTTGGTCCTCTCCATAAGTGGTAAATTAGGGTGTCTGTTATTACTGGTCTGCGAAATAGAGCCTTTGCTTCTCCTCTGAGAAGAGGATTTCCACTTGAAAGGATCTGTATTGCTGCATGGTCATGCATCAAGCCACTGACATGAAATTCTCTGCAGCCTGTTTCCTTTTTTACTGGCTTTTCCTCTATCATTTATTTCAGCTGCATCCTCCTAATAGCAACCCCCTTTTTAACTAGGTGTTAATGATGGTATTCAAAAAGGTTTTCAGGTGTAGTGGTTATTTCCCCTATCAGCTTCTCCAAGCAACGTTTTTTGGTATCCTTGGACATGCGTGTGAGAGCTATGTTGGTTTCATTGGCTTTGGGGCCCTGCCGCGCTGCAAATACTGAAAGGTTCATGGAGCTGGAGAGCTATTAGGCAGGAGATACTAGCTCTAGCTCAGTTAGGAGAGCCCTCGCTTGGAAGTGGAGAGGCCTGGCTGCTCTTGTGCCTGCTTCCAGAGCTGCGTGTGCGTTTTGCATTACTTAAGAGTTACAGTACGTAAGCAATTTGAAGTTGGGGATGGGCATGAAGATACCTCCCTCCTTTCCTAGGCTGACACCTTCTCCAATGAGCTACGGTGTCATACTGCCTTTTGCTTAACCTTTCTCTCTAGCAATATGACCCTTGTAATCCTTGTTGAACAGAGGAAAAATTCAACCAGAAGCATGTACTACATCCGCTCTCTTTCTTTGGCCCACTTTAGTTTTGAAGATACTCTTGATCTGAGTAGAATGTTAAATCCACATCTTGCAGTTGGAGGAGCGCTTTAATCACTGACCTGTAACGTGACAAGGTGGGCAGCACTAGTACAACTGCTTTCTCTTTCTTTGATTGAATTCCAAAGGAAAAGACTGAATCCAGAGTCAAAGACAATGGTTCAGGTGTCTGTGCCAAGAGAGACACTCAGATGGAGATTCCCAGTTTTAGATGCGTGCCTGATTCCAGTAGACACGTGAGATTTCAGGCACATTGTGTCCTTTGCTATCCTTACTGGCTACTCTGCACCTTTCCTACTCCTCAAGCTGACAGCTGTGAAATCCATCTATTCTCTATGGAACGTGGATACCTAATTTGACTTTGTGAGTTCTTGCAGGAATCAATACCTTCAAGTTTAAACAGGTAATACTAAGCATTACTGTAGATTCGACAGTAGATCTTCATAGAATTTTGTAGTCTTTGTAGATATGACCTTTGACTTCTTCACTGCTTCTAGAAATACTGCAACTGGCTAGTGTGGAGTGCAGTGATACCTTACTGTATTAGTGTTACTCATCTGAGTAGGACACACTACTGCTGACAGAAATTTCCCTTATCTCTACCACTGGAGCTGTGCTCCTGCATGATGATGTTGGATACGTTTTATCTCCGCTTTTGCTCTGCTATAGCTTTCAAAGTTGTGATTCTTGGCCTGCTTAAAATTGGACTTAGAAACGTCAAATTGGAGCAAATAAACTTGAAAAGCAGGCTTGTATGCACCAGCTCATTCACTAAATGGAGCATTTCTTTTCTGAACTTGCATAAAACAGTATTAGAGCTTCCAGTACCTCTTAACAAAAATGGAACGTGGTCATCTTCAACCAAGCCTCGATGTAAGTAAGACTGGAAATACTGCCTTTCAACAAGGTGATTCTTCAACAGATTCATGCTGTGTAGCTTTTGCTCTGTAATTCACAGTGAAAATTATGATTAGAACTTTTGGACGATATGAGGCATATTAACACGTTTGAATTATTTTTCTTCTTGTAGGAATGCTCTTTCCATCAGGGAAGAAAGAAAGAGTTGGAGACTCTCTTTTGAATTTGTTTAGTACTGCGTAACAGAAGACCTCGAGATTGGTACTATAATCATCATTTTACAGAAGGGAAAACTGAAGCACAGAAGTGAAGCAGTTTCCAGTAGTCACACAGTGACAGTGCCAATCAGTTCCTGACGTTGTATTTCATGATTCCCAGGTGTCTGGGGGTCTTCCTGAGATATTTTATTAATTAACGGATATTAAAATTTTCATACAGGTTTAAGAACGGCCAAATTTAGCATTTATTTTATTAAATATTGTAATTGCAAAACAGAAAACTAACCTAAAAATCTGGTTTACAAAACTCCCTACTTTAGGAAACTACACCCTAAATTTTCAAAGTCCTAAAAAGCCCATACTCTTCTCCTTACCAATTGCTTGAAGCCTCTGAAACCATCGGATGGTGTTTGGAAAATAAATGGGAAAGACTGGGTTTGGTGCACCAATTAAATCCAGTAGTACAAGCAGGTCCTGCGGAAGAAAGAATCTTTAAACTTAAGACAGAATTCTTTACGTTACTGCGGCTGTATAGATCGTGATTACGTCTTCGATAGCTCTTGCCAAAGACCTAGCTGTTCTACAGCAGGGCCTGCGATCTCATTAGCAGAACACAATTCACATGGGATGCGTGTTGCTGTCTTTCCAAAAAGGGAAAAAAGTAGGCTGTTTCTCAGCTCCTCAAGCTGAAATGGACAGTATCTCCTTATTTGCAGTTTGTATGTTACATCCCTTTAAAAGAAAAAACTGAGTCAGGTGAGGAGAAAGAAGAGCAAATTGCTTCTTCCCTGGAGAACAACCAAGCCCGTTAAGGGAAAAGAAGTTTTATACGTCACAAGATACAGCGATGAAGAAGAGAGGCGTCTCCGCAATGATTTGGGAAACGAAGAGAAGGCAGAGAGAAGGGAGCGGACAACCAAGAATGTTTGCAGGGGCCGGTGGGGAACGCACAAAGCTTAGCTCTGAGCTACCTGAAGCCAAGCCTGGGCTGGGGGAGATTTGTTCGTAGGCTGTTTTTATTTCTGTTGCGCTTTCCTAATCACTTTGAATTATCTCTGTTTTAGAAGTTGGGTATCCTAGCTTATATTTCAATAAAATGTGGCTGTTTTGATTTTCTATAGCTTCCTTTCCTATTTGCAGGGAGAAGGACTAAGGAGATCCACCTGAAAAGTTCTTTCCAACTCTGTATTTTATCACATCTTCTAAAATTTCCACAAGCCTATTTCTTCTGTTAACTTTGGTGGGTTCAGGGTTTCATGGGAATTTGACCAATTGCTTACTAATTAAAGAAATGTGATTTACAATTACTTATTAGGGAGGTGAAAGACACTTACAATGCCCTGGAGCTGATTTGTGGTTGTTGAACCAGGTGGATGTGGAGTAGACACCATTTTTTGAGCTAAGTGTTGAGATCCATAGAGGGAATCGGAAGGTGACCACTGGACAAAGGCTTCTTCACCATCAAAAAAAATAAGCTGAAGTGAAAGGTCTGGTCTTGAGGTTGAGCTGGTCTGTTGGAGGAAGTTAAAAGTAACATAACTGATTTTGGACAGATCATGAAATAAAGGATCAATCCTGTAGCCATATAAGCAGCATCAGTATGGGTAGATTTTTAAGGTATTCTGTGGAAATCCTCTCATGGTTTGTAATCTGATACGCATGCTGTAGCATAACAGTGGTAGTGACCAGCCATTACCGAAGACCTGTGAGAGTCACGTCCCTAGCTTGGAATGATTTTTGGTTCTGGTGAAAAGTTTCATTTCTGCCTTTAATGGACAGGAGCTGAATATGTGGAGACAGGTCTGCAAAACCAGGTAGCTGAAACATTGTTTCAAAAAATGAGGGTGACATGTTAGCAACAACAAGAGATGGGAGTGCTAGTATTACTTGATGACCCCACAGAGGAGAAATCTCTCTGCTACCCTTCTGCATGAGTGGGAGTGAGTCGCGTCTGTGTAAATCTTAGGGTCATACTTTCTCATGAAACTTCTGAGAAGGACGAACAGCAGCGGACATGAGAAGAATGACCCTTTCTCTTTCTTCAGAGTCACTTGCAACCATCCAGGCAACTTTAGCCTAAAACCAAAGCACGGGGAGTGGAGTAGTTATACCCGTCCTCTTCAGGAACCACAAATATTATAGCAATAAAAACTGTTGACAATATATATGGTTACTGTATTTAAGGTCACAAATGAGCTATGTGTATGATTTTTTTTTTTTTCCTCCAGGTAGAAAGAACCCCTTTTTCTCTATTTACTGAGACCTTGTTTGCATTGGGGACATTTCCTAACAATCTCCAAGACTGCTAAACCCAGTTCAGTTCCACTGTATGAACAGTTTGGGGAACTGTCGTCTAGGCAGTTGTCATAAATAATTTAACTACTGTACCAGTTAATTTTGCTTCCAGTGAAGTTGCATGATGTGGTTAAAAAGGTGGGGTCACTGGCAACGGCCATGTCCTGTGTGGACTACAACTCCCAACTAGCTGGAGCTGAACCAATGTAAACAATAGTGGAAAACTTCTCGAAAATGTCCCTCACGTAGGCGAGGCAATATTGATTATGCTCACAATGAGATACAAGTTGCACTCGTAGCAATGCCTTGTCGCCCTTTGTCCTTTGCGCAAAAGAGCTTTTTTTTGGATACCAGTCATTCTGCATTACATTTTGGAAGAAACTGTATTAGTGCCATTTGAATTTTAGAAAGAAGTATTTGTTGTTATTATTACTGCTTAACACATTCACAGCTCTGAATAATGTAAAGAGAGAGCTTTGCCCTTTAATTTTAAACTAACTGTCTATAACTGGACAAACATTGAGATAAAAATCACAGCTCCAAGTCCAAGTATAAATAGATTTGGCTGAAAACATAACAAAGTCTATTATGCTACTATGAGCAGAGCAAAGAGGTCAAAGCTAATGTATTAAGCAGATGGATCCCAAAGTGCTTTTCGTTAACAGACTGCACAAATGACAGCCTGTGCAATGTAACTCTATTGCCTTTTTTTAAAGTGCTCTCTTCTTATATGATACAAATATTACATTTTGAAAAAGAAAAAGATGTATTACTTGCCAAAAATTCCGGTCTTTAAATTGGTATGGGTTTTTCTGTAGATAATCACCAGGGAAATTTATTCAAAATTAAGCTTCTAAATGAAAGCTTGTGTATGTATTATAGGAGTGCTTGGTTTTGTGGTAAAGAACATTGTCATAGTCTTAATATTCCAATTCTTAAATATTCTTCTAGTGTCAGAAGGCACCAAATTATTTTCTGGAAACCACTGCAGACAAGTGAACTTAAATATCTTAGCTAATTGTATTCCCTATGCTTGATAAAGCAGTTGAGAGAACTTTTCATGTGAAAGCTCGGTTAGAGCTGGAGAATTATCTTCTGTAAACAGTAACTGCAGAACCAGTAGATGGCACTCATGAATCTGTAAAATGGCTTTTGGAGTTTGTAGGACCACAAGATTGTATGCCCAACAATGGCAGCACTTTGAAGCAGATTTTCATAGCATAGGTAAGGTGGACTAATCTATGATACTACTACTTGACTGTTTTTGTGCACTCAGTCATCAGTTTTTTTTTCAGAAATAAACTATTCAAACTAAGGAAGGGAAACAAGAAGAAAGGGTTGAAGTTGTTATGGGATGGAGGCACATGACAGTGTACCTCTCCTGCTCAGCATTTGGATCATCTCTCTCTCGAAACAGAATACTTAGATATTTGAAAATGCAAAATAAAGAAAGCAACAAATCTTTGTCAGTGACCCTAGACGTTACTGAGTATGATAGGGACTTTCTGGGTACTCCTCTGTGCCTTTTATATGCAAGGTACAGTCATATCTCACTGAGTCTTTGAAGCATATGTATTATTCATGTATGAATTGATATTTTTATATAGCATTTATTTACTGGATAGTTTTTAGATATCCACCCTTCGCATATAAAATTTTAATGTCAGAATGTGCTCTAAAGTACTAGATGTAGGTCTCAGTTCTACTCCTCTTGAAGCCAATGGGAGTTTTACTATAGGCACAGTGACTGGAGAGTCAGACACACAGCTGGGAGAGAGAACAGAGAAATGCTCTCAAGCCTACTGCTTTTTTGCAAAAACGAACGACAACGAAACAGGCAAACTACCTTGATTAACTGCAGCTTGTTATCCAGGGCTCGTGCAAGCTCCAGTATCATAGCGCAAGGCACGGCTGAGTCGGTGGCTCCCACAAACACTCTCCCCTGCCACTGTGGGCCAAAGAACTTTGAGTCATAGTGGCAAGCAAGGACGAGGTGGCGTTTTGCAGAAGGGTCAAGAGTGCTGATAATATTTGAAAACGTTTGATATCCATATGGTGTGTATCTCTGAAATGTATCTTCTTCAATTACCCAGCCCGCCTGTAATCTTTGGAGACGGTGCTTGATGTGCTGCAATTAAAAAAATAAATCAGATGACTATTACTTGCATTGCAAGTAAAAGGCATTGCAAACAAATACTGGCATTTGAGCATTTCTATAAGTTTGTGGTGTTTTTAATAGATAAATTTTGTAGCAAAAGATTTAATTTATTGCTACTAGGTAAAATAAGTGATGTCATTGCTACCTTACCCTATCCTCTGACTGGCTCACTTGCTTTTCATCTCTCTGCTTGTCTCTTGCTAGTACGGTCTTTGGTGTCTGAGGCTTCTTTGACTGATTACCCATCAATATGACATGTTAAAATCTCGATCTCCGAAGTTTCCAGGCCAGTGATTTTCAGGAGTGGCCAGGATAGACCTAGTGTTTGGTTCTTCAAATCCAAGCTTTCAGCTCAGTTGTGTCTTTGTGTTAAATGTCAAAACTGTGGCTACAGAGAACTTGCTATGTCTGTTCTGACAATTACCATGCATAGGTGCAACAGTAGCATAAATAATGTGCTTTTTTTTTTTTTTAACTTCAATGAGAAATCTGCCCTTCAAGTGATACAAGTTATTTACAAGGCTGTAAATTAAAGGAAGATTGAAGCATTTGAGAACAACTGATTTTAGAAATGGAATCCTGTAAGCGTAACGCATGCTAAGATAAAAATTAGGACAATGAATCTGTGTAAGAGGTCATTCATTTTAGGCGGCTTCCTACCTAAAGAGGATGCTTCTAACAACCCCAATTGTACTTAGTACAGAGTTCTGGCTAACTTTTGTTAGAAGGCCGTCTCTGTTAAGCAGCTTATTTTTACTGGTCCCTTGAGTGCTTCTTCAAGGCAGATTCCTCTCTCTTTAAATAAACATTAGGAAAAGTCTCTAAGGGGAAAAAAGAAAACAGGCTTTAAAGACTTGCCCTGCTCTTAGTGAAGTCAGTGGGAATATTGCCATAAATTTTAGTGCTAGAACAAATTTTCATTTTGTTTGTGATTGCCTTCTGAAAGCTTTTAAGGCATTGTATAGTCTATCCAATATCTGCAGGCAGAACATAGGGTTTCTGGAATGGATTAAGAGGAATATATAAGGCTGGATGCAGTTCCCAGAAAGCATTATCCTTGACTTGGCCTTCTCCCTAAAATCATTCTGATGCTTTTTCTGTATCTTGATAAGTAAGTGTCATCCATTTCGTACTCCATTGTGTTTTGACAATGGAGATTTTTTTTTTTTTTGCTTTAGTGAGGCTACATTGTTGTACCGTGTTGTTACCTTGTAATAGGATGATCCTTATTTGAACATGATTTGTGGTTTCATATCATCAGTTCTCCTGTTTTTTGTTCTTCTTCTTTTTTTCCTTTCATTTGGCTGCCTGCCAGGGTATCACTAAGGAAACCACAGAACTAGATCTATGGACACACACATAGAGCATGAAAGAAGCTGCATTTTTCCAGTCTACCAAATGCAGACTGGCAATAAACTTACTGTAGTTAGGGCTATCTTGGAGCTGTTGAGTCATCACTGAAAGGGGAGATGAAGGCACAGAGTGGTTACTTTCTAGTGAGACTTTGCAAAAGTCTTCCAGTAAACTTCATCATGCCGCTGTTTTTTGTTTCCTGGCTGGCAAGTGTAATCCAGAGGGGGCATGACACAACCCTGAGGATGCCCATGCTGTGTGCAGAGCAGGGGGGCCGAGAGGGCAGCAACCCGTTTGTGCAATAGATCGTCATGGCTCAAATCCAGCATGCTGGAGGTATTACCAGCTTGGGGCCAGGCACAATCCAGCCACGTTAGCCCAGCATCAGCGCATGGCTGTACTCGGGCCAACGGGCCATTGCCCTGGCCCAGTGCTGCGCTGCGGTGTGCTGACCATGAAGACCGCCGGCCGGTTCGGCCTTCCTGATGCCTCTTGGTGTCGATGCACCCATCTGAGGCCACGCTAAGGGGGGAGGGCAGCAGCGCAGGACCTGCCTGGAGGTAGGGAGGGTCCCTTAGCTCATCCCCTGTGTAGGTGTCCAGGGTGCTTGAACCAGTGACCAAAAGCCTGCCTGTGTAAGGGAAAGGACAACGGCTGTGTCGCGCCTTGGTTACCAAACCTGGGGGGAGCTTTTTAAACTTAAAACACGAACTTAAAAACTGGCTCTTTCACCTTTCTGTGCAGCCCTGGGAAAATGCAAGCTGTATCTTGTAGGCACTATGCAATTTCGACTAGAGCAATGAGAGAGTTCATCCTACTGAAAGGAAGGAATTTGTCCCTTACAAATAATAGATGTTCTTTAGTGTCTTCCGGAAATGCTGCCTTACCTGCCGTACGGCATAGTTTCCTGGCGATCCTGAGTATCTTTCTATCAGGATAGGACGCAAATCATTCTCCCACATTTGAGAAACATCTGTGTTTTCTACAACTTTTTGAATAGTATCAGAATGTAAAAGTCTTGGTTGATGAGAATACTGTAAAAGGAAAAAAGGAAAGACTGCTGTAACTATTACTGGATTTTTAACCATAGTTTTCTTTACAATTACTGTAAATGTGATATTTTAGCTAGTATATTCTGCTATTTTGATTTACTGACAACAACAGCTAATTTAATAAAAGCTTTTCTCTCAAAAGCAATTGACATATTCAATTTCTGTGGTTTTTGCGCTTTTGTATTTTCCATGCAGAAGGTACTAATATTAAAAATGTGGGAGAAATCTTTACCCACTAGCCATGCAAACTCAACCCATGATTGTTTTTTCGCTTTTCCTTATGATATTGCACCACGTACATCCTACAGTCATGTCTGCAACTGCGTGGCTTTCACATGAGGTTTCTGTTCAAACTGAAACACCAGAAGCTTTATTTCAGTAATAACAGTATTTAGCTTTAAGCTATGCCTACGCTATGAAGTGCAGTACTGCATGAGCTCTGTCCCAGAAACAGTGAAGTTGCATCGTTGTGGCCTCTGCCCACAGTGGTGGTGGTGGTGCGACTGCACAGCACACACTCTCAGCTGGAGAGAGCTTAGGTAAACATCAGCTTTGTGATGTACAGTTTAGCCTCAGAAGTGGCAGCTCGTCTCCTCTAACAATAGCTAGTAGCACCAGTATTTACATTCCTCCTAAATAGTCTTTGGCCTTTTCCGTTGCCTGAGCCTGGACCTCTAGCGCCATTTGAGATGACCAAGGCCATTAAGGCCTCCTCATGGGGCTGGCAAATATGTCAAAGCCTAGTGAGAGCCCCGTGGCCTTGTGGCGCGGTGGCTGAATGCCAGGTGGAATACCCTAGGACAGTCCAAATGCCCCTTTTGGCTCCTGATTTGAACCTTACCAGCCTCTAGTAATTGGCTGCTCAGGAACTTCTTAGCCACTCATGCTTTTATAGACGCGTGTCCTAGGACAGGTTATATAGCCATTCCCTATTTCTGTTTTAGGAAGTTTCCTCTAGTCCTACAATTGATCAGACTCACTGCCCTTCAGTGTACCCTGTCTGCGTCTCCTATATCTTTTCTGCGACGAGGGGAGCAAGGGAAACTGTACTTAGGAGCGCACCATAGCCTTATAGTGTAGCATAACAGCATTTGCTATTTCATTTTCTTTTCCTTTCCCACAAACTCTCAATGTTTGACTTTCTTTTGGCAGCTGTTGCATTGACCTGACATTTTCATAGATGTATTTACTATAACTCCATTGTTGGGAAGATTAACAAAAAATAAAATATCATTCCCCCTCCTTTCCTGCTCCCTGATGCACTTCACTTCAGATTTGTCTGAAATGACTGCTGAAACTCATTTATTACCTGGCCAGTGAGTGTATTGGCCTTAAGGTCTTCCGAAGTTCTGTGTAATCAGCTTTCATCTTCACCACCCTGGACAGATTAATATTGTTTAAAAAAGTTCTTTTTGCCTCACTATCTCTCTTCTTTTCTACTTCATTTATGTGTGTGCTGAACAGAGCAGGACCAAGCACAGATGCTTTCTAGACTCCACTGTAAAAAATAACCATTAAAACCTCAGTTTACTAGTGAAATTTAGTAGGAGAGAGATAGAAAGATCCTGAATCTTATAACGCCAGTTACATTATAGCTTTTAAGTTTACAGCTATGATCACACCAAATTTCAGGAGATGCAGTTAAGGTTTTTAATGCTAACAAATTCAGAAATTTATTAAAGAAAAATCATGTTTAATCTGATACATTGTAAAGTTGAACTATTACAAGTTTACAAATAGTATTGTAGAAGAAGCATAAAATGTTTCAACTTTTGAAAGACTGAAAGTTTAATACAATGAAATGTGTATCGGTGTAGAAAAGGCACAAACATGAGAAAAAGTTGGCAGGGAACAGTTTTATTCAGGAGGAGCAGGTGGCAGGAGGAGAGGTAAAATGTAAAACCGCACACTTCAGAAACAGTGTGGGAGGATAATTTAATTAAGGAGATTCAGAAAACACATCTTCATCCGAACAAGTGAAAGGCTCAATTAAAATGCTGAATCATGTCTAGCTTATAACTGTAGAGCATGCCTGATAATTGTGGGCCATTCAATCACTTTGCAAAGAAACATTATTATTAAAGCACAAATGTGTGAAAATACTTCAGAAAGGAGGAAGAAATCTCCATTTTTAATAATGGGAATGTCTTCAAATTCAGGACATTACAGAGGTGCTCATGAAATATAAAAACAGCAGAATGAGAGCTGTGGTTGACTCATTTTGTTGTTGGTCACTCCATTTCTCCTCCATATGCTTTGGCCGGGTGTTCAGCCACTGCGTGAGAGGTGAGGCCACAATAGGGAGGCAGAGCAACGCATTTGGGGCAGGGCTGCTGTTAAACACTAAGCTGCCTAAACTACTGTGCTGCACTGCTAAGCTGCCTGCAACTGCAAGACTTAAACCTCCACACGCAGCCCACCCGTAACTTGCTGATTTCAATGTATATGAGCTCGATGTCAATTAAGAACTTCTAAGTTTCAGGCTTGATTCCTTCTCCTCAGTGAGCGATGCAAGAAGAAGGATGGACCCGTCTGTCAGCTGTAAGGAGAGGACTCCTCTTTCAGCTTTTGACTCTTGCTTCCCTTTAGGGAGAAAGAGCAACATTTGTCAAGGGACAAAAATTTGATGAGAAAGAGGAAGTGGCTCTTGGTTAGCGTCTGTAAGGGCAGAGGAGTTCAGATGCTCTGCTTCTGCGGTCAGATGATCTTACTGCAGTCATTAGCAAGTCAATTGCCTAGTTAGAAAGGAGTGAGGTGAACGGTGTATTTGTGTGGTTTAAGGGGCAAAAGGAGCAGCTGGGCTACACACTTCTACTCTGAGTACTGACTACAGATTTAGCCTTGTTTATGTCACATATATATATATGTAGTAGGATAAAATGAGTAGAACAGAATGACAAGGTTTCTGTTGGATTATATTAAAAAAAACCTTCTTTACAGGGGCAGTGAATAAAATAAAATAAAGGAGAAATGAAATGACTAAAGGGAAGGGAGTGAAAACATATGAGGGAAGCTTCATTTCGTTAGTTTGCTCTGGACCCTGATTTGTTGTGGAAGAGCATGTTGCATTGGATTAGTGGAGTTCAGTCAGTTCTAGGTGAACTTTGAGTTCAGCTCTTCTACAAACACCTGAGGATGGATCTTAAAAGGGTATTTTTCATTTGGAAATGCCTGAAGCCTTTATCTAAGTGAAAATTGTAATTCCATGATCTGCTATGTTGCAGGTGATCCCGTTCTTCATGAAGAAATTGTTGATACTTCACAGTCAGCCATTAAGAGCTATTTGATATACAGAGAAATCGAGACTGTATCTGCTTATTATTGTTTCACTAAGCATTATCCTGAGAGTCCTTTTTTCACTAGTTTGCACAACATTTTAAATTAGAAAGAATACAGTATATCTGTACAAGACATTATAATATGATGTCCTTTTAAAATAATTATGCAGGAGCTATCTTGTTTTTCCTAGCTAAACATGAATCACTTCTGGAAGAACCATTTGTTTTCTCAAACTAAAATACTGTCCTTCTCTAAATCACCATAGTTATGTTGAAAATTAGAATATAATGTAATATTATCTCCAAAATGATATAGAACATACTTTTAGGTTTTGATCCCTCCTGTCCTGTTAAGCTTCCCCTTAAACTCAACAGCTTTCTCTGACATTTACCGTTCTAGCTGCCAATTTCCATTGGGATGAATCGTATCGTTAACGTGACAAGCGTGTGAAGGCTGATATCCCTAGCCATTAAGTTAGGATGAGAGGGAAGCCATGTTATCTTTTACCTGTCTGTACCTTGCAGAGCCAGCTGTGCTGCCTAAATAACGGCATTAGATGCAATCTCAGCTTGATGCTGCCAGTGGCAGAGTGCTCAGCCCAGCCGCCTGCGGGCACTGCGTTATTACCGTGTCAGCTGCTTCCACATTAGGGCATGAGCCGTGACCACAGACTACAAAGACAAAATTTATACCCGCACTCAAGAAAGACAGAGAAGGATCACATGAAGATGTCTGAGGTTTCCTGACTGATGGACAGAGAGCCTGGCAGGTCACACTGCGTGCGTGTGTGTGTTATTTAGCAGCACCCAGTTGCTGATCTCCACCTCTCACGAATGTGTTAGCCCCCACACCGTAGCTAAGTGAGCTGGGGAGGAAGGAATAGGCTTAGGAATATGAATGCAACCTACCTTCTCCAGGGTCCAGTCCGTCCCGGTTTCCCTCCCGCTCACCAGGTGAAACAAGGAGACTGCAGACAGGCAGAGCGCCCCGATCCAGGCGGGAGCTGCGGCCACCCCCTCGCCTCTGCCTGCCCCTGCCATCCCGCTCCTGCAGCCCTGGGGGCTCTTCTGGGGCCTGCAGGCCGCTCTCCCCTTCCCTTCGGCCTTGCCAAGGTCTGGCGGGGAGAGGGGAGAGCCAGTGTCGGTGCTGAAGGAGGAGGAAAAGGGGCAGCGCTGGAGGGAGGGAGAGAGGCTGCTTCAGAAAGAGGCGTGTAGCTCTCAGTTCATTCAGCGAGAGCCGTGCTGGCTACACCAGCCTTTCCCAGCCCATTTCCCTGGTGAAATGAGCCTTGTCCCCAGCACCACGTCAGCAGTATCAGAAGAGTTGCATGTGACTAATCCCCAAGCCCTCAGGCAGCAATCACTGCACCGTGGGCTCTCTCTTTTTCCCACTTCTCTCCTCCCTCTTTTCCTCTCTTCCTCCAGGGATTACAGTGTTGGGAAAGGAGGCTCAAAGGGGCTTGTGATTTTTTTTCGCTGTGAGAAGAGCTGTAGCTTGCGGTTTCCAAATGAATTGAGGCTCCATGGCTCTACTTGATCTCAATAAATTTGAAAATAGATCCGTAGCTCCAGGCATTTGAATGAGTCCTCTGCAGACCGTCTTGAGGTTCTTGCTGAGAACGGGCCGCCACCATCATTCACTGATGACAATCAGTTGGAAATGCACATTTGTGAAGTGTCTTGAAATGCAAAGATCTATACAATTGCATAGAGTTTTAATTTGTATTTTAAATGCTCTTTTTATGATTTTTTAATGATCATTTTAAACCTAAAATGGCAATACTTGCTAGTTTCAATTAAAAAGCCAAATTCTGTCTTCAGGCTTTCTAAATTCTCTAATTGCATTAATAACTACTGATGAAACAGGATTTGTGGTGAGGTGGTATTTTACAATAGATCAATTAATGTGACTTAAAAGTTTCCAAGCACACAAACCCCTCTGCAGGACATTTGATATCAACGTCCGTGTCCTGCCCTGTTGTAAAGACATTTGACATTGACTGTTTTGCATCTTTGATATTCCATTTAAAGCCTCCAGTTTTCACATTATTCTAACTGCTCCTACTTAATACTACCTAATATAAAACAAATTGAGAGGCAACAAAAGACAAAATTGACAAGAATATAAAGGAGGGAGCAGGAGTAATCATCTTGTTGCTCTTCAGCCTCATACTGAAAAGTCCTATCCCAGAAACTACAACTTTGCAAGTACTCAGAGTGTCTGTGATGCAAATACTAGAAAAAAATGGAACAATTTGTTGATTTGCAGATTCTTAACCCAGAGTCTACAGATTTCCTAGAAAAGCTGATAGATTGGCTGCTCAGCATAATTCTCTGGGGGTGGCAGTCACTGCAGATTCAACATCCTTGTAGATGATACTAAGCATGTGACTATATCCAAATGTTTCATATGCAGGGAAATAAAGAGTTATTTTAAATTAATGTCAGGTCTTCACACAAGTGCACACATGGGCTTTGGTAGGAAGTTGTTGTAAATGGAAGACTGGTGTAAAAGGCACTGGTGAGTAGGGAGAAATGGCCAACCACTGCCAAAAAGATCGGTGTGATTTACAAATGTTACCAACAGACACCTAGGCAAAAGCCATGGCCTATCAGCAGAGTTCAGGTCATGGGAAATTAATTTTAATCCACCTTCCAAGATGACATGATTTTAACAGGACTACAAAACGGAAAAAAAAATCTACTGCCCCTCCGTTAGATTTCTTTGGTTGACTATATAATCCAGACGCTGGACAAAGTTTCTGGCTGATGCGCAGGGTTCTCGTACAATTTAACAGAAAAGAAGTTTTCCCATAGGGACTGTAAATCCACTGGAAGGAAAAGACCCCACTAGGGCTACAGGTTCTTCATAGTGTTTGAGCCTGGCAAGCATAGTATAAGGTCAGCTGAAGACAGTATTGATCTCACCTCTATGGGAAACATAGATAAAATGGTAAATGTCGCACAGAACGCTGAGAAGGATTGAACAGGACGTTTAAAAGTTTTTTTCTTCCTGCCAGATAGTATTGTGCTGACTGTTGGCTCTTTGATCGGAACAGGCACACACCTTTCCTTTGGTGCTTGCGGTAGTGGGGAGAGGGAGGGAAGCATAGCCCGCGTACCCCTCCCTCAGGCGGAGGGATCATCAGCCCTCTCAGGCAAAGTCTACAAAAAGTCAAACAAGGGAGATGATAACCTGCATGAAACTATTCAGCCTGGGAAGGTGCAAGTAGTATCTGGGAAGCTGTTTTTCTTAAAATATTAGTGCAATCAGTCCAGGTCATTAACCTAGATTTGAATATTTGAGCACAAAAATGAAGAAGAGAGTGGGATAATAAGCAGTAAATCTGCTTCCTGCTTAACTGTTTGAGATCTGCGCTGTTAGCGTTTCTAAGAATAACAAAACTCAGTGCCTATCCAACACAGATTGGCTTGTGTAAGCAACCTCTGTATGCTTATCCAGGGAAATGGGAAAATGAGAAACCTGGCGAGTGAACCAGTAAAACTGAATTTGGATTCAGGGTGTTCTGGAGACCTGTTGGGGAAATGTTGGAAGATAGAAAGCACTTTTGGGGACACAAAAGACGGCAGACAGAAAATTAGAAGTGAAAGCTGATGCTTTGACTTCCTGTTTTGAAAAAAAATCGGAGAGTCCTTCGTCTTACTAAATAGATACAAATAGATCCAGGCTGCATTCAGTCTGGAGCCAATAAGAACGTGTTAGATGCGTTTTTCACCGCAGGTGAACGCTTTGCATCAAAACTAAAACGTCAAAGCTGTTTTTAGTAACACCTGTAATTGTCTCGGCGTGGTTGTGCTCTCGGTGGCACCCTCTTCTTCCCTTGTTGAACTTGCCGTATTAAGATCCCATTCAGCAAAGCAATTATATCTGTGCTTAAAACAGTCCTTAGCCAGCAGAGCAACATAACGTATTTACCAGGATAGATTTTTTACTTTCGAAATTTAGAGGAGGAGGGAGGGAGAGGAGCATTCAAAACTTCCCCAGAAAGTTCACTGTCTAATGATATAAAAACTGTGTGTGTGTTGTAGGGCTGGGGGGAGGAAGAGGGTATTCGATTGAAATGTAACAGAAATCAGAGCAGTTCACAGCTGAAAAGAGAATTCTTCGACTACTTTAAAAAATAACATATAAAGTTAAACAAGCTATAACCGAAGGTGCTGGACATTGTGATTCCCAGTGGTTTTTAAAGGAAGAACACCTTGCTTAGCTCTGCTCCATACTATCAAATTGAAAAGCTGTCAACAAATCATTTCATGGTTAGCTGTTCTGTTTTATACATTTTAAATGGTTGGTTTATTAATTTGATACTGAAATAGATGTAATCAGATGTCTTCTAGAGAGAGAAAAGGCAGATTATTGGAGGAAAAACACGAACTATTTGTAAAAATACAATCGGTGCGTTGTTTCTTTTCTTTAACCCAGTCGATGTGACAGTGCCATCTACTGAATTCCAGGAGGAGAGAAGCCCGAGGCAGCTCTGCCAAAGGCCTGCACATGGCTTTCGCTCTCCCTAATGCTACAGCATGTGAGCATTTCAGCCCATACTGCCTCTCAGGAGCTTAGGCTGAGCACTCTGCAATCACCTTCCTTAACGACTGCCTTAGCTATTCACTCTGGAAAAATGCATTCTCAAATGCTGCCGACTTTAAAGCATGCCCGTTTTCTAGAGAATTTGTACTCCTGCACCTTTCACTGTTTCAAATATATTTTCGATGCTCAGCAATTTCAACTAACAGGCCTACGGTAGGGAGAGGAGCGTGAGCGTGTGCTGTTGTGTTGTGATGCTACCTAATATGATGCAAATTGGAGGCTGAGCTATGGCTGACTGATCAACAGCGGTAAGGCTATAGGTCCAGTGTAGAACATATTTCCTGGGATTTCCAGTGTTTGGCAGCCTGGGCTGCTGAGTGTTCAAAAATCAGTAGGTGACTGTTAAAACCCAGGGTGGAAGGGTGGCAGGGCTGGCGTTCATAAAGAAGCACGTGGGCCTGGAGGGGCCCAGTGCACACGGGCGCTCTGTGGACTTGCACTAGTGTTCATCTAAGTCAGCCCATCTGCTGTTGGTTTCTGTGCATTTGGAAGAGGCCCTTTACGAGGCTGTGACAGTACTGCGTTTGGTCGTTCAGGTTTAAGAGATTCTGTTTCCACAGGCCGAAGCATTTGCAGACTAAGCTTTGCTAAATGAAAAGTGGAAGTGAGCCCTAAAACACAAATTTAGGGAAATAACTGTATATTTATTTCACAGCTGGTTCGGTAGGATTATATAATTTGAATGAGGCTGCCCACCTAACAGGTTTAAGGGTTTGTGGGATCATTCTTAAAACTAGTGATGGATAAGTGAATTCCGAAAGATCACATATATAAAATGCATAATATAAATACATATTTTGTTCTTCGTGGGTTCATACTGGGGAAAATTTGATTCCATAATGTTTAAGCCTAGCACTAAACTTTTCACTGTTCTGTTGGAGGTAGATTTCAGAACAAAGTTCAGCTGAGGGCTCAAACCAAGACGATGAGGTAATTCAGAGACACATCCACATTTCAGGATTTTATCCAAACCAAACCTGACCTCCTAATTCTCTTTCACTTCTATTGTAATCATAATAGGATAAAAAAGGAGAACATGAACTGCAAAAAGAGATGGGCAAAGAAATGAATTTTAACATTTTGTCCATTTAGATATTGGTTCCTCTTTCAGCATTTCTTGTAAATCTTGCAAATCCTGAATGGGGGCATGGGCTATGCAAGATCAGTGTCAAAAGCAGTGAACAATAATCATGGCAGGATATGCTTACTGAATTTCTCAAACAAACGCACTAGTCCTATCTCCTAGGGCACTGCCTTCTTTGTAACCCAGCTAGATAATATGAAAATATTGCAAACGTCAGAGTGGTGAATGGGCCTGAATACATAAAGTTTCCATTTACAGCTACAAAATATCCAAATGCTACAGGCACTAAATTCAAACTGGAAAAAAATTGATGTATTTTTAGATTTATTAAACAGCTGCTCCAAATGCAGATGGCCTGTATAGGCATAATGGTCTATATAGAATGAAAAATAATTTTTTACAAGAGTAAACAAATACAATGAAAGTTACCACTATTTCCTGATGTTTTGTAGCTATAAGAGGTAGCAATTTATGAAGTGCAGCTGGCTTTGGCAGGGAAAGCTCTGAGGTGTGAAAACAGCCAGCTATCTGAAAAAATGATGTGGGTTCTGAAAAAGATGAAGAACTTAGATGAAGTCCAGAGGAAATTACAATTTACGATAGTCACTAAAATTACAAAATAGAACGCTTACACTGTCAGCTGGTGCAAATAATGCTCCAATAATGATGCTGCACTGGTACCCTAATATCTAATGCTGTAATAATGCTGTGCTGTATATTCCCACAAACTCAGTTCTGCATACACATACAGATGTATATGCTTTTATAAATGTACATGTAGAGATGCTGAAATGCAAAGCTTCTTTCGGATGTTTCAGACAAATCTTTACGAACAGAACACAGCGGGTCCTTCAGCAGCATTCATTCAGGAGAAAGTATCACCACCTAAATACTTATAGCAGTTGCTTTGTTTTGTCTGATGCTTTTCTGTGTCCTGTAATAAATTGATTTTAACTAATCCGTCTTCCGTTCTAATTTATGAAAAAGCAGCTATTACGGCTTAGGGCAGCAAATTAAATGGCATCAACCCTACTGGATGATATAAAGCTGAGCTTCTTTACAAAGAAGCATAATCGTTGCCCAATGACTTGGTAATTCCTAAAATCCATCTGTTAATGGACAATAACAGCTATTTTTAGGGCTGTTATTTGGAACGTGAAAAGCTTGCTGCATTTAAAACTCTACGGTATGACTCCTTGCTGCATTAAACATCAGAAATCATGTTTATGGAAGCAAGCTCCATGCTTATAGTGTTGGTGTGTGGGAGTCTCACTTTAAAGGAAAAAGGAAACGAAGATTGCTCAGAGTTATCTTGTGCAGAACTTTGGCAAGAACATCCTCTATTCATGGAATAGCCTTCATTAAAAAGTCCCAGAGTGTTTTTAGCACTCCAGCCCAGTTAAAAGCAGAATCAACCATTAATTTCGACAGGTTTAGTTCAAAGCAATTCCAGATTTCAACAAGAAGCTTGAAGCTAATTATTTATGAAATAAGATGGCTACAGGCTGAAACGGACCTTGTTATGCTTTGTATCAGCTGCACTACACAACGTTTGATGCAAAATAGGATGAAGTCAGCGGAAAGACTCCACTTAGCTTCAGTGGCTTTTAGGTTGGGCCTCAGCAGTCCAAGATGAAGGAAATGAAAAATGTGTGTTACAAACAGCACTCTAAATGACAAAGCACTAATCAGCTTCTCCATCTTTTGACTCGCTGTGTGGAGAATTTGTATTTTTCTTGTATTTTTCCTAGTGTTTTCAGTCAGGTATATAATTTAAATACATACTGGACTTCAGCTGCCTACAGTAGTGGATATGGTTTTAAGGCTCATACTCAGAAATTAAATCCAAATTCAAGAAGGAGGATTATGGGTTGTCTTTAACAGGGAGCTTTTGGGCTGGAGGGAGGATACTAATGCAGTTTTGCCTTGTGCCCAGTTTTATTTAGTGTTTTTGCTCTATATACACGTGCTATCTTGCGTGCAGAGATCTGCCAACGATGCAAAAGTGGCATCATTAACGCAGACCGGGAAGATAGGATTTGGGTGAATCAGAGCATTAGAAGGGCAGGGGGCTAAAGCGTAATAACACCAAGCAAAGGGACAACCACATCAAAAAGGTCAGTACTAGGTCAGTACTCCTGCCACGAGCTAGAAGCTCGTTAGCGAGGACCACCGAGAGAAGGAGGGGGAGCCGCACTTTTGCTGGTCGCAAAAAGCCCTTCCGAGCTACCAGAGCGGCGTGGCCATGAAAAAGCCAGTGGATCCTGTGACACACCAGGTCAAGTATTTCCTGTGCAGGGCAGAAGGGGCCCGGTCCGCGGCCCTGGGGGGAGCTCCGCGGGGCTGCGCGGCGCCACCCACGCCCCGGAAAGGTGAACTGAAAGCGGCGCAGGTGGCGAGGAGGGCTGGCGGCCGGCCGGGCCCGGCCGCCGGCGCTCCCTGTGGT